GTATATATATATATATATATATATATATATACATCATCCTGATTTTTGGGTACTTGCCCAAGCCATTTTAGGCTCCCAATCTGCCCCTGGTCCTGCTAAATATAAAAGCATGGAATGGAAGAATGGGTGATGATATTGATGTACAGTGTGGATATCCAGAGGTTAAACATGTGGGACTTTATGGGACTCTTAAATATTTACTAACCAGCCCAGGCATCACAAAGTACTGGTCAGGGTTACCTTAGTCAAGGAAAAGAAGAGAGGCACATATGGTGTAAGAAGTCCACTAGGAAGAGCTGCAGCACTTCCAAATGGTTCAGCTAACATCTCACAATGATTCTGGAAATACCTGGAATGGTCAAGAGAGCAAGGGACACTTGCAATGCCCAAGACTGCATCTGATGACTAAGGTGAATGTATAACATGATGACAAGATGTATTTCTACACATAGTTTCATTCTGCTACTGATATTATACAAGGATTCTACATTTATAAAGATGTGCGTGTCTGTAAATTTTTGCAGGAAGGGGAGGGCCCTTTTAGGGTACCAATATATTTTAGGCAGGATGTTTTCTAGAAAGATTGAACTCAAAGACAAAGCAGTGCCTGATGTTGAGTTTAGACATTTCAGTGTTTGACATCCTGATGCACTTAATTGAGTTGTGTCAAAGAGTTGATTCTGTGGAGGTCATATTGGTCAATTGAGACTGAATTAAAAGCTTGAAATCATGAACTCTAAGAAAATGTGGTTGCATATGTGGATGATTTGAGGAGACTGCATGGAAATACTTTTCCAACCATGATTCATGAGAAAGCCCTATTCAACAAGTTTGAGGAACACTGCAAGTGAACTCATGTAGTGCCACAAGTATCTCATCATTTTGTTCCTGATGGAGACTGATTCTGAAAAGACACAGTTCAAGGTAGCCATATGAATCCAAATATCATTAGTGGCTACAGAGGCTAATCCTGCTTTTGAACAGTTTCAATTATTGAGGGTCAGCAATGACCCCTCAAGGTTCAAAATAAACAACAATCATTGGTTCCACTGCCACAAATACCACAATGTGTTATGATGTAGAAATCATGATTCCATATATGACAGAAGGACTTCTAATACAATAGAAAATTTCCCCCGTGAAGATGCATAGTGCCTAAGGGATAAAGCCCTCGACTGGATATATAATTGTCGATATCTTGTCATATAACAAAATCAGTAGATGTTGATTCTGTTCTGGTTAAAGTCACAGCAAATGCATAAAAGTCAATTAAAAGTAATGATTTCAAAGGCTCTGAGTAGTTTAAACTAGTGAAGCCTAAGTTGAGTCTTGCCGCCAGCTTGGGCAAGCCCAACAGTCAACATGCACAGAGCAATGGCAGTTATTTTGGACAACCACGAACATCGTATGTGCATGTGATAATCCATAAAAGTGAAGTCAAATTCCTATTGCTTTTAAAGCAGCCAGAACCTTGCTCAACCTTATGTTTACTAGGGAATTTAAGTGAGCCATCAATTTATTGAAATGGTCATAAATTAGGTAACAGAAGCAGAAGTGATGCACACCAGCTGTTTAGTTTGTATCACTACAGCTATACTGCATGTAAAAGCAAATTCATGACTACACAAACATCTGAGTTTGTGTGTCTGAGGATTATGGTATTGATCTGAACTCAGCATAGAAACAACAATTCACTCAGTTGTTCATAGGGTTTGTAGGACCAGATAGCAATCTTGGTAGAACAATAGCATGTCATTGCACAAACAACAACCAAATATGCTTTTCTGGGATATCAGGGATGTTGTCAATGCTGAAACTAAGCAGATGTTGAAAGATATGATAATGAAACCTTTAGAGTCTATAGCTATCTCCAGTTGTGATTATGAAAGAAAAAAATGTTAAGATTCTACATGGACAAATGTCAGCATTATACAATACAGCCTCTAGCTACTGAAACTGTGCAACAAAAAGGAACTACTGGGAGTTGTAATAGTTGTTAAATATAACTATTATTGTTTATGTGTTAGGAAGTTCATATATTCAAGTGGATCATACATCATTGAAATGACTGATAAACTTTGAAACTCTAGAAGGCATGATTGTCAGTTTAATGATTACACTACAGCAAGGTAATTTCATTTTACAGAACTGTTCTAATCAGCAACAGGAAAATGCTGATATAGTATTTCACCAACTGCTAAAAGCATGTCTGGATCCTAACAATTATTCTTAAGGATTAATACTGCAAATAACTTATTAGAAGTTTCAAGAAGAGTAACTTAAGGATGATGTGTTTATCCATTGTTATAACCAGTGGAAACATGGAAGCCATCCTGCAATGTGGCCAGCATATTCCCAGAGCCTTAAGGCAGGAGATACTTTAGACTTTGGATGATGCAAGGCTTGGATGGCACCAGGATTTACCAATGTGAGAGGAACTTATCATGGTGCCCATTAATCTGGGTAACAGTTTGGACTTGTACATCAAACTTATTTTGGATGCTGGTACAGCAAGTCTCCATGATTTCTGCCTTGATTCTAGCATTCCTTATGAAGTCCAGGGTTCCCATACCCATTTCTCCAGCCATAAAGTTGACCACCAATCTCGTGGTTTTCACATCAACAACTACTGCCAACTTAAGTAAATTGATCTCATTTCTGTAATTTTCTTCAAATAAAATGTAATGTTTATCAAAGCAAGCTACCTACACAGATCAGAACTAAAAATATACCCAGTAATGAACATATTTAATTAAACATGGTGTTTAAACTATCTCACATATAATAATAACACAGGCCTGCAAATTTAAACTTCATAAAAGTTGTTTTGGTTTTAATAACATATTTTCCATAATTCATCTACACAGATTTCAAAAATATTTTTTTTCTATCACGTAAGGATTTTTTACAAATAGGAGAAAAAAACTCTTGCATAGATCCAATTATTTTGTTTACCACAATGATCATTTATTATTATCATTATGTTAGTTGGCAAAAATACAAACAAACTGAAGAAAAGGAAAGAACATTGATGTCAAATGAATATGCATCCTCATTCATCTTGATTTTTTTTTGTGAAACCTACATCTTTTAGTCTCAAAACTAGTGTTGTTGTCATTCTTTTATGTATTGCATTATGACATTTTGTGAAAAATCTGTACGTGATGGAGAAAAATGGATATCATTTTTGGGTTCAGTGTACAGGAACTACTGTAGAACATGTATAAATTTCAAGACAATAAAACTATCGCAGGCCTGTGTAATTAAAATTCACTATTTTATCAGTAAGGTATCCTCTCTGTTAACAATATTTTTGGCCGTAAACTCAATAATAGCTAAAGAGGTTCCACAAGCCCAGAAGTATCAAGTTAATCCTAAATCCATATACTAAGCTTAAACTAATAATGCAGAATAATCATTATAATGAAATAATAAACATAAACAAAATTATAAATAATATAGACTGATAAAAAATGAAAGGAGATATACTAAATATTCTCACTAACAGCAACACTGTTATTCACTAAAGCATGAGCTACTAATTATTATATTCAAACAGAAGTTTGAAATAGCAGCCACAAAAGTGCTGAAAATCAACGTTATTCCAATTTTCTTCCCCTCAGAACTTTCATCACGTGTAAACTAGTTTGTGAAATATTAATCCCGCTGTTGTATTTAAACTAAATGATACTTTTACATCGATTAATAATTTAATTTTTACGTTGTTAATGTTAGCATACTCAAATATAACCAAATCAAAACTAACCTAGTCTTATCTGCATGTGGCTATCAACTTCTTGCTAAACCTAATTATACTTGTTATAAAGACATTTTAAAACTAGTAATAAAAATCAATTATACATAACATAGTTTTGTTTTACCTTCCTTCGAACTTGTGTTTCAAAAAGTCAAAAATGGCCTTCTGCATCATGTCTGTGACCTCGTAACCCTTGAGGGATGGACCTACAAGGACCACTGGCCGGACGGAAGGCACTACATCGTACGGCGGAATGCTCTCTGACTGAATTAGATTAAATGGCGAAGTATAAATAATGTGAAGTTAATTTCATCTACACATTGTTTAATTGAAATCATAATGTAATGTACAAGAAAAATCTTATTTCTAAGAAAATTTCAATGTTATGATTCGTTTTTACTCAGTCCATAATAGACGTTTTTCAGCAAAGGCGGTCATGCAAGTGGTTTGTGTTCCAAACTGATTCTGAGAATCCATTAGTTTCAAAATCGCGCTACCAACTTTTGGGATAGTGAATGCGTCATATGGATGACGGTCAAATCCCACTAATTAATTATATAAGACATTAGTACTAGGTCTATTATAATTGAAAACACCACGTTCTTAATCCAGTCCATTAAGGATTTGCAAGAATTAGTAGAGGGTATAAGAACAGTAGTTCAACCACACTGTATTCGCCATATCCATAGCCAACGACGGCTGGGATACAACAAACACAATAGTGGACGGAACACTATTTATATAGGCCATTTGTTACAACAACAATTGTTATGGTGTGAACGCCTTTTCCAAACTGGCGAAGCATGGTTATAATTAATAATACTATTATTGTTATACAATCTTCTTTGTTACCGCCAGAAAGAAATAAAATAAACTGCTCTCCACACAATGGCGCTGTAGGTGCTTTATAAGGCTGACAGTCAAGTCCCATTATATGGTTTAAGAATAATAATTTAAGAGATGGCAGTGGGTGATGTAATCTAGCCGCTTTCCCTCTAATCTATCACTTCAGCTACCCCCTTGTAGCCTTTAACGAAATCCAAACAAACAAACAAATTTGTTACTTTGTACTTTTGCCCTTAGAATAATGGGGGATCATCATCTCAAACAATTGAATAATAAATCAGACCAATCTATTCTGAATAAATATAATCAAAATAAGTAATTTTACTTTAATGTCTTCTTCCCTGATGCATAGAGCAGGTACTCCATTCTGCAGCTTTGAACTTAAACAAAATGAAGAAAATATTTTGGGTCAGGGGTGATCTAGTAACTATCGTACCAGTACAGTGAACAAAATTAAAAAAAATTCATGGTTTGCAACCCGTTGTCACTAAAACAGTGTGGGAATGTGTGTGCGCGATATGAGAGTGATGGTCAAATCCCACTATTCAAGAGTTGGTGATGGGTACTGTTGATTAGTTGCCTTCCCTCTGGTCTAGGAATTCAAAATTAAGGGCGACTATGTGCAGCTATCCCTTTATATAACTTTGTGTGATATTCTGAAATAAACCTTAATGTCGAAAATTATCTTGCTTAAACTGAATTTCGTTAAAATTTGATGAAAACTAGCAAAGTTACCTGCGCTACATATGGCATTTATTTCGTTGGTTTCAAAGGGATGTCGAGACGGCGTGTGTGCATCCTTCGCCATGGAGATCTACTAAATATTTGTATGCAGTTTTCCTACTGGCAAGCTTTTTGATATTAGTGTAACTATTTTTAATATATTTTCTAACTTCTGCTTCTTGGTGTGCTGGAAATCTAGTTATAGCCAGAATTTGGGAAGTAGTCACCTAGGCAGTATCAGGGGAATATTTCAATTACTGTCAAACTCATAAAGATCAGACGATAAATAAAATTATATATATTAGAAACTCTCTGGGGCCTACCCAAGAAATTTTGAAAGTCCATGGTAATCAGAGGTCAGGAAAATGTTTACCACAGACTGACGGACACAAGCTGCTGTATAGAAGAAATGTTACAATTGATTATTTTAAAAATTCAATATAGAACTGAATTTTACCTTCTTGAAGAAAGTCTTTTTCCTCTCTTTGCCAGGATGTCCGCCAATACTTGTTTTACCAAGTTTAACGTTGCTGGTTGTGTCACTATCCTCGCCAGGATTACTGTCGGCACCATTTTGTTCCATATCAAAACCTAGAGCCAAAACAAGATCACATGTTAATTCCAATTTGAAGTAGAAACTTTAAAACGTAGAGCAAAATTGCGTCAAGAATATTTACCGATAATGTTTAGCTTCTGAAGGTAGTGTCTTGGAAATTCTTCTGTAACTTGTAATAAATGGGAAGTTAGCAATTGATTCATTTAATGTCGTTTATTTCAGAAGTAAGAAAAATCACAAATATATCGACCCTACATTCTGGCTCTTTTAGATAAAAGACATGAAGCTCTTACTTATCTTTTGGAATTAAATTAATTATTGATAAATAACTTAAACAAAGATATTGGTTATTGAGAGTACTGTTTTGTTTTGGTGAGAAAGGCATGTTTTACACAAAGATTCTCCCGTACTTTCAGACAAAGATACTTAATTAATGAAACATTATATTTTAACATATCACCCTATAGAAGGCCACTAAACACGATTTAGGACTTTTCCCACATAAAACACACATTCTTTTGTTTGTGGTTAAGTACACAAAGTTATAACCTACCAAAAGGGAGTAAACAGCCACTTAAAGTTTTATAAAAACATTACTACAGAAAGCTTCTTCCCACGTACAGATAAGTTAATTTTTAACTATTTTTACAAGCCAGGCGTGGTCTAATGCTTAACGATCAGGAGTTTGAGCCCAAGGTACTGATTTTGAGTCCCATTGTCACAGAATCGTTTTCTATACTTTCGAACCGTGGGTGCGTAGCTTAATTTTGAATATTAATTTAAATTAGTTTTGATAATGCTTAATCGAATTTAAATTAGTTTTCTTTTAGAAGACTCTGAAAACTTAAATTAAAACAAACTTTTAAATATTTTGTCAATGAAATATTTTTCCACAGACAGTTCAAATATTGCAGCTGCGCGAAGTTTTCAGAAACGCAGTTATTGATTGAGACAACTATTTTCTTCATTTAATGTCAAAGATCTATGTATTCAATGTTATGTTGAAGTATTTATATTGGTCACATTAAACTTTGGTGTTATTATCTTCTATTCTCATCCTACTCAAAAAATGTAGAAATGCAGTATTTCTATTAATTTTGACTTACAGAGAAGTTACAGTAGGCTATAGTGATTGGTGCGTGAAACCAAGATCACAAAATATTTTCTTTGACGTAACACTAATTTAGTCTTCAGAACATTAAATGTCTTTCTTCTGACATATTATATAGTACTACTCAACATCGCAATTTCCACTTTAACAAGTTTCCGCAAAGGAAAGCAAGATCAATCTTAGATCACATATTTTGCAAAAACTTTCCACAGGTTTTCCTTCTAAGGTTGAAGGATCTTTTCCTCGAAATGTTAAATTCTTAGGCCTTACATCATTTAACAATCCCAAAATCGTTCTTATAAAGAGTGATGATGCCTCCGTATCCTTTACACACTGATGTTTGAAGAGTATGTCATTAGATTCTAAGCTTACCTTATTATAAAGAGCATATAATATAGACCTTGAACAAGTTTGTTAAAATTAAACTATTTAACTCCTAAATTTGACGGGCATGTAACGAGTGAATAATCTTGATTCTGAATTTCCTTGAATTAAAATACTGTTACGTCTCTGGTCGTTTGCTAATTAGTCGTAAAAATTCTTTCTGAAGAACTTCAGCGATACAAGTCCTTTCTCAAATAAAACTAGTTTATTCTTTCTCAATTCAACTTTGCAATACACTTA